TAATCCAGAATTCCTCTTAAAAAAAAGTCAATTATCAAAACTTCAAAAAATATTTTAAATAAAAATGTATAAATTATTGCCTGTTTCTTATTAGCTTTTCAGTTCGAGTAAGTCCTACAAGAAAAGGTGAAACTTAAAAATAGATCCTCTTCCGATCACTTGTTTGTAATTTTCTCCCAAAAATGATTCAAAAAGTGGAATTGACTTTGATTTATTTCTATAAAGTTTTGAGAATACTTGTATTAACGGGTATATTTGAATATATTTGTTTTTGGAAGTTATGGTTAATTTTGTTTTCTAGTCCTAATAGCTTCTGAAAATTTAATTTTTAAGGAATTTTTAATTTACATTTGGGCGTATATTTATTTCAATAGTATTGAACTTTGACCCAAAAGCAAATTTGTTGAACTATGAAGAAAAATGTAGTTGTTTCAATTGGAAGGACAGGAATTTCTCATCGTCTTAAAGAATCGCTTTCAATTTTCAATCCACACTGAAATCCAGATAGCAAAATTTCGATTTTATTTCGATAAGGGTATGATTTTGTTCCCCTGTATCGAACCTTAGACTGCAGTTTGTTGAGCTTGGGTCCACTGTGCAGTGGAGGCGATTACATCAGCGGCGCGTGAGATTAGACGCCGCCGCGGACGCATAAGTCAGCGCTAAGTGTGGCATTTGTGAGCGTATTTCGGTTGCAATTGTCAAAATAATTTGGTTTATTTTGTGTATTGGCTTGTTTTTGGCGCTGTATCTGGAACCATTTGGAGGCGTGGGGCAGGCAAATGGCTGGGGGCATTAATTGATTTGGCTGATTGTTTAACAGTGTCTGCTTTGGCCAGCGGCACAGCTTATTAATCATAAAGAACTTAATTAATAGGCACTCTTAATTACATCATTAATAGTTCGAGGGCTGGGGCCCTTTTGCTGAAGCGGCAGTTTCTGTTTGATTTCTAGGGCTCTTCAATTATGAAATTTAGTGGCAAATTTTGTGTGGCCATATGCATAACTGTGCGGCAAATGCTTTGTCAATTGTGTGGCCAAAATTGCGTATTGGGAAATCTTGCCCCAAGGAGCTGGAGAATTATGTGGCCGCCAATAAGCCATGATGTGATTTTTGGCTATTTGCGGGCACAAATAAAATTAATGAATAACGAGCTGGCAGCAGACAGAAAAACTTTACACTACTAACCCACTTGGGAAGGCAGTTGCAGCACAAGGCAGCAGCACAGCAACCACAACAACAACAACAACCGGCAACTTGCAAATGTCAGTAAAGCATTTTTTGATAAATGTGCCACATGGCAGGCAACAACAACAACAACGACTTTTCTATGCCAAACGAAATCGAAAATGAAAATGTAGCAACCGCAGGCCGCACTGCCCCGCCCGAAAGGTTGCAGCCACCATCACATCATACCCATAATGATGCCCTCAATCCGTACCGTGCCATGTTGCCGACCGTCCTTTGCAAAATCGTGCAACGTCAACAAGGAATATGTCAGAGGCCTCGAAACCACATCAAATCAAAGCCGTAACGGCACTCGTTCACTCACTCGACGATCAGTCAGTCGGGCCGGCCAACTCAGTCATAGGTAAGTCTCCAGCATATAGATGGGGAAGTCGACGTGTGCCTTTTTAGCAAACATTGCGGGCGAAGAAAAAAATTATTTCAAGTCTTTGCAGGCCTTTGACGAGAAGTCAAAATGTTGCAAATGTGTGGCAGCTTTTAGTTGCTGTTGCTCTGTTATTTTTGCTTTTTTTTCATTTTCTTCAATGACTATTTTTTTGGCGCTCCGGCAAAGACGTGACAGCTTTGGGCCACAAAGTCGCAAGCTAATGTCGCAAAAGCAAAGCAGCATAGACAGCATGCGGCATGAGAGGCCAGCCTGCCGCACATGTCCGAGACCCGGCGGCGCTTCTGCAGCACCGATTTCAAAACTGCGCCCCAGAACGCGTTCGATTGTCGAGTCGCACAAGTCAATAAAATTATAAATTGCGCTTATTAAATTGAGCTGTTTTTTACGCTTTAATTTTGTATTTTCCACATTTTGATGGCAATGCTTCGCTGGCTATAACAATAGCTCCGGTTGTGGGGGGCTCGGTTGGTTTGGTCTGCCGGTCTGTCAGTCGGTCGGGCGGTCGGTCGGTTGGCCGGCATTTCTTGTAATACACATTTCAAACTAATTAAAATAAAACGGGGCGTGTGGCGTATGAGCGCGTTTTTTCATGCCATTTGTAATTGAATTAATTGCCACCGATTGTGAGTTGCTGGCATTATTTACCGCCACTTCTACGAGTATGCCATTGCATAATGACACGCTGCACGCTGCACTTGGAGCTCTGGCTAGTTATTTGCTATATTTTTGTAACAGCACGGCTTAGTTGCTTTATGCAAAACCCCTTCATTCCCATAAGCGGAATTGTTTCCTATGGCAGAAACATGGAATTTGGCGGGCAATGCGAAATGAGTAACTTGGCAGTCAGAAGCACAGGAAGTTAAGAGAAACTCATATTGAATGTTCATTCAATAGAATAGTAATTGAAGAAGATTACAGGTCAGTGGTTATATACACTTGCCCGCATAACTCTGCGTACACACAAAAAAATACACAAATTTTAGCTTTAACTGTGAATATCTTTTAACATATGCAACTTATTGATCTAAATGTTTTTGATTTGCTTAGACTCGACATTTTTCTTAATAACTACATTTTTTTAAATATTAATATAACAATGAATATATTTTATTTCTATTTTTTAACAAAACCTTATTGAAAAATGGACCCGCAAAAGTCTGCGTACAAAATGTTTTTCAAACATATTATGTCGCTAAATTCCTTATTAATAGCTTGTTGGGTATCCTTTTCTTTGAAGGACCTCTGCCAGACGTCGAGGCATCGATTCCACCAGCTTTTTTGTGTCCGCCGGTGTTATTTTTTCCCATTCCTGCAAAATTACCTCCTTGAGCATACTTTTGGAGGTAATGTTGTGCTGCCGGATTCTGCGCTCGAGCAAGTCCCACAAATGCTCAATAGGATTGAGGTCTGGAGATTGGGGAGGTGTTTGCAAACGTTTTTTTACGTTATACAGCAACCACAGCCTTACGCTGTGAGCTGTATGTTTGGGATCATTATCTTGTTGGAAATAAAAATCATTTTCCAACCCCAACTTCTGGGCACTTGGGAGCAAATTGTCCTTCAAAACTTGGATATAGCCTTTTTGGTCCATTATCGACTCTATGAACTCCAGCTTCCCAACGCCATTAGCTGCCATGGACCCCCAAACCATTATTCCTCCTCCGCCGTGTTTGACAGTTGGCACTAAATTTTCTTTATTTAAGGCTGTACCAGATTTTCTCCACACCAATTTCTTGCCTTTTATGCCAAAAATGCAGAACTTGCTCTCATCCGAGAAAATGACCTTGTCCCAAAATTCAGCAGGCTTCGACACGTGCTCATTTGCGAAGTCCATGCGCTTTTTCTTATTCACCTCTGAAATGTGAGGCTTCCTACGGGCAACTCGGCTGTGATATCCAGCTTTTTTAATAACTCTTCGCACGGTGTCTTCAGATATGGTTTTGGAGAACCTTTCTTCCACCTCAAGACGCACCTGCTGAGCAGTCATCCTTGGGTTTAAGCGAACTAAAGCAACGATACGCTTTCCCTCTCGCTTTGTTAATAGAGACGGACGCCCAGATCGTGGCTTTGGTAACACCGAACCCGAGTAAACATAATTATTGAACACCCTCTGACATGATGAGTGAGTTCTGCCCACCAGCTGCCCAATTTCTCTATAAGATTTGCCCTGGACACGCAAATTAATTATATTAATTTTCGAAGGTCAGTGTCGATCTCTTTTCCTGATGGCGCCATGGTTGTGATTGATCAAACACAACTTCAATGCATAGCAAAAGTCTTTTGCAAACTTCAAACAAAAGAAAAAGTGCAACTAAGATAACTGTAATTGCATATTCTCTTATTCTACACAGTTTAGTCTGCTTGTACGCAGACTTTTGCGGGTCCATTTTTCAATAAGGTTTTGTTAAAAAATAGAAATAAAATATATTCATTGTTATATTAATATTTAAAAAAATGTAGTTATTAAGAAAAATGTCGAGTCTAAGCAAATCAAAAACATTTAGATCAATAAGTTGCATATGTTAAAAGATATTCACAGTTAAAGCTAAAATTTGTGTATTTTTTTGTGTGTACGCAGAGTTATGCGGGCAAGTGTATGAATTTAAATAGATAATGAACAAGCTATACATTTTTTTCACGGTTCATTTTTCATGTGTTGTAAATCACTTCTTCCGGGGGACTGGGGGAGGATGGAGAGAAAATCGGAAATAAACATTTCTTGCGTATTCATTTATATCTGTATAAAAAAAAAAAAACAAGCTCGTATTGCGTACATACATAGGCTATCTGTCACGCCCCCTTCTGCCTGTTACATTTTGTACTTCCCGCTATATCCTAATATATTTCATGTAGAGAGTATAAAAACCAAACTCGTCATTTTTCCGAGTCTTTATTCTAGCTGAGATTCTTGCGTTCATATGGACAGACGGACAAGGCTATATCGAATTGACATACTGATCAGAAATATACATACATATATTAATTATGGAGTCTGCCACGCCACATTCTGCATGTTACTTGTGAACTAAACTTGTGAACCATTTTATCCTTTGAGTACAGGACATACAAAATTTATCAATAGTGCCCAAAGTTCCAAAGCAACATAAACTAAGCTTTGGACAACACAGATGACGTTTTTCGGGGTACAGGGTATTTCATTGTCGGACTTGCCGAATTGCAACATTCTCTCTTGATATATTTAACTATGTACTCTTTTGAAAACACAAATGGCCCGATATATTGGCACAAATATTAAAATTGTCAGGCTTTCAGGCAGAGCCAATCAATTCGCACGCATTGAAAGCTGACTAAAATTCCAGCTATGTGCCGACAGCTTAGTGTTCCAATGCGCTGGAGATAAGAATGATCAACTATTACAACTACGTACTGCAGATTCTGATGCTCTTCCTATCGCTGCAATCGTCGGAATGTCGACACCATGGGCATGGCCAAGGCAAGGTTGCTCGGGCAAAGAAGGATCACAATTATAACGGCCTTGGACGGATTATTGGCGGCACTGCGGCAGATCCGAACGAGTCACCGTTCCAAGTGTCCATACAATACGAGGCGAATCATGTTTGTGGCGGAGCTATTTTAGCTCCGACTTGGATTGTTACTGCGGCACATTGTCTTGTGAAAAACGTCACCGTTGTGGTGGGCGTTTATGACCTTAAGGAGGTCAATGAAGCCTTTAGGTATGAAGTAGAGGAGATGTTTCAGCACTGCAGCTACGAAGACGAAAAAATGAATCACGATATTGGAATGATAAGGACAACGAAACCTATAAGTTTTAATGAAAAGGTTGCAATGATTCAACTCGCAACAGAGCAATTGGAACCCTACGTAGAGCTGCGACTAAATGGATGGGGGGCCACTAAATATGAAATTATACCAACAGACACAATATTCCCGGACATTGATACTGAATTCCCCACAATAAAGCAGGCAATGACATTTAAGTTTTGGCCACGAGAAAGATGCCATAAAATATGGGTGGAAAAAGGATCCAAGCATGGTGTGGACGAGGATGCATTATGCGCTTACAATTCAATAGGTCATGGAGCATGTATTGGCGATTCGGGAAGCCCTCTGGTATACAATGGAACAGTGGTAGGCCTTGCCAGCTATGTGTCAGCCTGCGCTCGCGGCCTTCCCGATGTTTTCGTGAGCACGTTCATCTATCATGATTTCATACGCACTTTAATGAACGACTGCCCAAGAAGACAGATGGATGGCGATTCAAAAGCACACAACGATAAGATAACAAAACCTATAAAAATACCCAAACTAAAACCACGATGCGCCAGATCACATTCTGGGCGCTGCACAAAATCAAGGCGGACTAAAAACTAGCACAATTAGCAAAACGGTGCATAAAATAAATACATATACATGTTTTTTTCGCTGTACCCGCAAATATATTAAACAATTCAAACAAAAGAAAAACGTTTCCCTATATTCAAATATTTGCATGCCATATTTGAATAATTTGATGAATATATTTCAAATACTTGTAGATGGGTTTTATTTTCGACTCAATTTCAATTTTAATGACACAGTAATTGTTTCCCATGTATATTGTAGATTTATTTCTTGTTTATTTACCTGATCGTTCTCGTCATTAGTATCACTAACATAATCATCATCATCATCATCATCATGTATGTGTCTGTGTGACTGACAACTGTTGAAATCTATAGCACGATGATACTTTTCGCCCGCTTTAATAACGAAACCAGGAAGTCTATGACAATTATAAATCATCTTCGTTGCAAATTTACAGCTGTCATGAAGAGCTCTTCACAGGCAACTTCAGGCGCTAAAACAACAACAACAACAACAACAAAAATAGCAACTACTACTGACGTCAAGCAGTTGCTCATTATACTCACACCCACCCAACAAATGGGGGCAGCAGTCAAGCGCGCAACTAAATGAACAGCAACAGTCCCCGACAACAACAACAACTTTAAGCCGTCTTAAACAAACTAAGGCTCCGAGCTGGGAGGTGCAAAAAGACAACTTAGGCAAGTGTAAATACTTTTCTGACGAAGCTAACTGGATTTTGTTTACTTGCTTCATCCGGTACGTTGGCACATTAAAAACGCTTCCATAAAACAAAATACAAATAAAATTTGGTCAAATACAGCCATACACAGGCTTTAGCCTCAAGTCCCTGTAGCTGCAAAGTACTGTCAAATTTTTAAACAAGCAGCGAAAGGTTCTTAAATTAAAAAAAAACGTGTGTTTGCAATTTTATTTTGCTGCTTCTTTTTTCTATTTTTTTTTTCTTTTTTTTTTTTTTGCTTCTAAGCCCAGCTTTTTACATGTTGCAGCGTCATAAAGCGAGTCAGTCGGACCTGAGGCTTTCTTCGAGTCGCTATGGCTGCCCATGGCTCTTATTCCCCTCCATGGAGATTACAACGATTTTCTTTCAAGGCAGTAGACTGTTATCAATAATTGAAAGTTATTTGATTACAAACTAATGATTTACTTCACCTACAGACAGAAGACTTTCCGATTTCCCGATAAGAAGACTCAAAAAAGAGTGCATGTGAAACCTAAAAAGAACAGTCTACACTGGCAGCAGCCAGCTACGTGTCTTCTCTAAAAGTGGATTTCAAGGTTCTATTCTATAAAGCCAGCGAACGCATGTGATGTGGACATTATTCAACAAGACCAGTCCAAAATTCTCTGGGTCCATATTATATTTTCAATGAAAGTATGAACAATTAACTAAATATTCCAACAATCAAATTTCATATTCGCGCAGGACCTGATCTTAGCACCGATAAACTACCATTGTCATGTTATATACTTGTAAGATTTGGGAACTTAATAAGTCTGCCTAAAATAAGATCAAATAAATAATATATTAAAAAACAAAAAAAAAAAAATGTTGTATCAGCTTATGGAATTGTAAAGCCTCAAATAAAATAATTCAGATAGGAAAGTGATTTATTTTATTATCAGGAATACCATTGTAAAAGCAAGACAAATGAAGAATATTTCTGATCTTTGATTACAGCCCTTAAAACATAATAATTAAATATTAAATCAAATAAACATTTTAGAGAGTATAATTGAATTAATTGAACAAATTAAAAGTTCTTGTGATCAAATTTGAATATTTATAATTCATGTTTTTAAAACTTATTGGGTTACTTTTTAAATATAATTTATGTATACGAGCATATGCGTTGACATCCCCAATAAGCCACCAAGTCCAAAATTTATGGAACGAAAATGCAGATTTTCCAGACAAACATGGCCATTTGTAGTTTGAATTATCAAAAGGTTTTAAAACAATTTATTATTCTTACAGTCTTCAAGTCTTCTTTGCAAAGAAAATCAATATTTAAAATAGAGCGAACATATAAAGCATTTCAAGAGTTATCTAAAGTCGACGCATTTACATTTTTGAAAATGTACTACTACTACATACTTATAAATCTTTTAAGATTCTAAAGAATGGTTTTCTAAATGAAATCACCCTCACAGATGGTGCTTAAAAATGGAGTCGAACTGAATTACTGATCGCCATAGGTGTAGCTACCAAGCATTCAATATTGATTAGTTCCGTTTCGGCTTCGGTTTAATTAATAAAGTTTGGTTCCACCGACACATTGAATGCAGTTGTCAGTGGCACCTCGAGCCATCAAATGGCGAGTGTATTTAGGCGTCGGCAATACGTTTTCACTATTAACTATTAAAATGCTATTTTGAGTGGAGTAGTTTAGTTGGCAGCAGGAGGAACAGCAACGGCAATGGAAACGGCAGCATCAACGGCCTCATCATTTCGAGTGCTGAAAAGCATTTTTATGTTCTCGTGGCGTCAAGTGCTGGCATGCACTGTGCAAAATGGGTGAAATTTTTGTCCAAAACTTGAACAAGAACAATGTTGATGATAATAGTAGGAGCAGGCAAGCAACAGCAGCAACAGCAACAACAACATCACTGCCTCGGCGTGCAAATAATGCAATTTGTGCAATGTGCGCTGCTCACACGACGAAACGTGGGAGTCAAAGTCGCAGGCAGTCTTGCTCATTTTAGTAGCTTCCCCACTGTGTAGGAAGTCTTAACTACTATCAGAGCTAGCTAGCCAGCAACTAAGCCAGTCAGGCAGTCAGCCAGTCAGCCAGACAGGCCGCTTCAGTGTGTTTGGTGTTGTTGGAGCTTGCGGGTGCCGTTTGTGTGGCCGTCGCAGCAAGTTGATTGCATTCTTAGGCACATGGGTGAGCGGTGGGTAGGTGGACTAGTGGACTGGTGGTGGCTTGGTGGTATAGGTGGTTTAGGTGGTATAGGCTTGTGTAGTTAGTTCGCTTCGTGTGCTGTGTGGCTCCAAAAGCAAATAAGTGCATTTAGTGTTTAACAAATGTTCGCATTTGCAACTACAACGGCTGCCACTGATGCTGCCGTTGTTCCAACTGATGCTGCTTCTGCTGCTTCTACTGCCACTGATGATGACGGCGATGGGGCTGTTGATAAGCTGAGCAGAACATAAAATGCTAAATGCATAAGCAATAAGTATGATGAAGCGTGTAATAAATGCCCGCCACTATGCGCAATAATGATAATAAAAGCGTTGACATGAGTTTTGTTACTTGTAAGCCATACTTTGCAGATTTATCTCATTGTGATCATTTAGTCAAAGTTTTGCGTGTTTCTTGTCCACTTGGGAAACAGCAACTTGAGTACTGGAGAGCTATATTGAAGTCCCAACTCTTAAGTTATTTGGGATGCAAAAATAAAAGCTAAACAATAGTTTTCTGGCCTCAAGAATTATAAATTTCAGCTAGAAATATTCCAAATTATTTTATTATTCCAGCTTATCGTTGGAAAAATGTAACGGTCTTGATGAGATTTCTTGAATTGTTGGTTCAAATTATGTACTAGAAGTGTATTTCTGTAATGGCAATGTAGATAAATACATATGCAACAAAATTGTTGATTCATTTTTTGCCTCAGGTTTCGTTCATAGGAAAACTTGCATTTCGATTAAAGAGTTTGCCTTGACATTATGTGCGAAATCAACATAATCGCTGTATCAAATTTAATGATAAGGTGGACCTCTTTATTTTACTAAATAATTATATAACTCTTTTCTTCGATAACAATGCCAGAGTGCCTAACAAATTATTTTTAGTTCTTAGATAATATTGGAGTTTTTTACTCCCTGTACCCGAAGAATAAAATGGGTGTATTAGGTTTGTGCAAAGTATGTAATAGGGAAAGGGAAGAATATTCTTAATTAGCATGATGGAAATCGAGGAATTACAAAAATTAAAGAAACTACAGTATATTGATTTTTCAAAATAAACATAAGGCTTCGCGCTCAAAGACAACTTTTTATTTTAAAACGAACTCATGAAAGGAAATTAAATTTGGTTGCAACATTTATTAAGAGCTCCTTCAATGGTTTGGGAAATGTAAGTCAAGTAAGATCCTGTACTCCAATCATGGCTAACTTATAGTATTATTGCCGGTTGCTTCTGGTAGCCAAATGGTATTTGGCAATGGGCGCAATGACTAAATTTTGCTTTGCCGCTTGACTCCCGCCTGTCAGGCATTTGCCAGCTGAGATCGCATGCAGGCCTTGCGAGTGCACGCTGTTGACACAAACTGACAGAAATTAAAGCACATTCAAACGTCAGGCTGGTCGTCTGTCCAGCTGCCGGTCTGTCCCGCTGCAGTCTGACCAAAAGTAAACCAGGGAAAAAAGCAGCATCGTAAAAATGAAAACATAGCCGAGGCTCAGAGCGCTGCGACACCCACGCGCAAATTTCACCAAAACACTTGAAAAGTTGCAGCCTGCCAAGTGGACAAGATCCGCTTGCAACGGCAACTATGGCGATGACGATGACGACGACGACGACTACGTTGCCGCTGCCACTGCCGCTGCCGCCGGCAGATAAATGAGCGGCCATGCGGTCTGGGTCTAGTCGAACAGCAATTCAGCAATTCGGGATTGTGCGCAGGCGCGGGTGTTTCGCGCAGAGAGTTTCATTTAAATTAAATTAGAGTTGCAGTCCGAGACGCAGTCGCGGTCGCAGTTACAGTTGCTTGAGCAGTCTAACTGTAACAATGAGTGATGAACGCACTAAAAGCTGACAGGCCGCTGCAGGAGAGAATGAGCCTGAACCGCTGCAAATGGGCATGGGCATATCAATAGAAATGCGTGCCATAAATCAGCGATGCAGAAAACTGAAAGATGTCCTCGTAAAGCTATTTCAACTGCCTGCCAGGCAATTAGACAGGAACGAGCCAAATGGCCAGTGGCCAGCAAGCCGGGCGCGCTAATGGCCAGCATTATCATTACCAATTGAGATTGAGGCAACGCTTTGGAATGCACCGAGCAGCACAAACAGCAGCGGCAGCAGTACCTCCGCAAAGTCGCCCACACGGTCAGTGGCCAACAACAGCAGCAACA